GCTGCTTCTACTTAGCATGCTTATCTGCTGATGAAAAGCAAAACACTACCTCTTCCCACCCTTTTTGTTTTCTGTACTTAGAAGTGAAATTGAACACTGTAACTCAAAAGAATGAGCTATCTTTTGGGTACCCCTTCTTCTCTAGAAGTGTTTAGCTCAGTGTTTCTCAACCTTGGCCACTTTAAACTGTGTGGACTTCAACTCCCACGCTGGCTGGGGAATTCTGGGAGTTGAAGTCCACACAGCTTAAAGTGGCCAAGGTTGAGAAACACTGGCTTAGCCCAAGGTATAAGGGCAGTTCAGCCCTATTAGTGTTTCAGAGGGCAATGGAGATGAAGCTCTCTATATAGTCTACTTCTGCTTCATTGACTATGCTAAAGCCTTTGATTGTGTGGATCACAACAAATTGTGGCAAATTCTTAAAGAGATGGGAATACCAGACCATCTTATTTGTCTCTTGAGAAACCTATATGCGGGTCAAGAAGCAACAGTGAGAACTGGACACAGAACCACTGATTGGTTCAAAACTGGAAAAGGAGTCTGGCAAGGCTGTATACTGTCACCCTACCTTATATGCAGGGTACATCATGAGAAAGGCAGGGCTAGATGAAACAAAAGTTGGAATTAAGATTGCCGGGAGAAATATCAACAACCTAAGATATGCAGATGATACCACTCTAATGGCATAAGTGAAGAGGAACTAAAGAGCCTCTTGATGCGAGTGAAGAAGGAGAGTGCAAAAGTTGGCTTGAAACTCAACATTAAGAAAATCAAAATCATGGCATCCAGCCCTCTCAATTCCTGGCAAATAGATGGGGAAGAAATGGAGGTGAGGACAGATTTTATTTTTCTGGGCTCCAAGATCACCTCAGATGGGGACTGCAGCCAAGAAATTAAAAGACACTTGATCCTGGGGAGGAAAGCTATGGCAAATCTAGACAGCATACTAAAAAGCAGAGACATCACCCTGCCAACAAAAGTGCGTATAGTCCAGGCCATGGTTTTCCCAGTTGCAATGTATGGCTGTGAAAGTTGGACCATAAGAAAGGCTGAGCGCCAGAGAATTGAGGCCTTTGAACTATGGTGCTGGAGAAGACTCCTGCGAGTCTCTTGGACTGCAAGGCATTCAAACCGGTCAGTCCTAGAAGAGATCAACCCCGACTGCTCTTTAGAAGGCCAGATCCTGAAGTTGAAACTCAAATACTTTGGCCACCTAATGAGAAGGAAGGACTCACTGGAGAAGGGCCTAATGCTGGGAAAGATTGAGGCAATAGAAGAAGGGGACAACAGAGAAGGAGATGGCTGGATGGAGTCACTGAAGCAGTAGGTGTGAACTTAAATGGACTCCAGAAGATGGTAGGGGACAGGAAGACCTGGAGGAACGTTGTCCATGGGGTCACGATGGGTCGGACATGTCTTCGCAATTAACAACAACAACATACAGTCTTCAAGAACAGGACAGAAGATTGAATGCTGCTCCTGAGAAATTGGCTTCAGGAAGTGGAATGAGGTAAGAAAGCAGGCTGTTGATTACAAAATATTTTTATTTGTGATGCATTGTAATATTAAATGCCTTATGAGGCAGTTGTAAGTATCCCAATTTGATTGGAGAAGACTAAAAGCCTAGATATAGGTAGTCCTTGACTTACAACTTGGCAACTGACTCATATTTATGACAATTGTTGTATTCTGAGTCACGTGATCCCCTTTTGTGACTCCCTGACACCCCTTCTCCTGCTTCCTTTCCTGGAGCAGACATAGTTGCACAATCTTCTGGTTTTAACTGGATAGGCTGTTTCTGGAGATTCTGGAGATGTCAAGCGTCCCTCTCAGTTATCTAGCAAAGAAAGACTCCTGGCCATTTGTTTTGTCAGGAATATGAAGCTTAAATGGTTACAGAAGCAGCGTAAGCTGAATCTGAGATTTTCCCGTGCAAACAACACAAAGAAAAGTTCCCTCCCCTCCCCCCCCGCCCTGACCATCCCCCAATTATCTGCAAATGTCCAATCAGGTGCTTCTATATTGTTCAGGAAACAGCTCTGCATAGCATTATTACTTGACCTTGGCTGGCTGGAGCTTCTCATATGGCTCAGATGGGCTTCCATCCTCCCCTTTTTTCACACTGCAATTTTTCTTTCCCCCAAACCCCCCATGCCAAGGTCAGGCTGCCAGTTCATGTAGCTTGGATAGGTGAGATGCAGCCATGACACAAAGTCAATGGGGAATCCAGATTCACTTAACAACTGTATTATTAACTTAACAACTGCAGTGATTCATTTAACAATCGTGGCAAGAAAGATTGTAAAATGGGGCAAAACTCAACAACTTAGCAATAGAAATTTTGAGCTCAGATTGTGCTCCTAAGTCAAGAACTACCTGTAATGAAGAAGGAGATTGCAATATCACCAAAGGTCAAAAAGACGTGGCGGTGATTTCTCAGCCACAGAGACTTATCTTTAATAGGATCTAGATCTCGTGTCATTTCACCATTACAATGGGCCAGCCATTCTTTCTCAGCTCTAACTTACCTCACAGAGTTGTTGGGAATATCCACAGGTCAAGCTTCTGACAGGAAATACAGGTCAAAAGTAATATATAATCATCTCAGTTATGCATTTGTTCACTTATAATTATAAGACTATACAAATCCAGACAGCTGGGAAACGTCCACTTTTGGAGGCCAGGCTGAAATATTTGAAGTAAAACAAAACAAAAAAAATGTCTAAATTTCTGATCCCTTTTAAGCTTAAGACACAGGTCAAATGATCCCTCACCTCCCCAACTACAGCTCCTAGCATCAGTAATGGCAAGGAGTGCACACCAACGGCCATCTTGAAAGTCCATGTGTGTCAATTATATTGATTCATGTGAAACAGCTTAATGACATGCAAAGCTGGCAAAACATATCTAAACTTCCCTAAACCTGAGTTTCTTTGGTTTACAGATGTTATAACAATGTCATAGTATGTATGTTTGGGTTGTACCCTGTTCAGAAAGTTAGAAGCCCCCCCCCCAATTAGATTAGACTTCCCAGACAAAGCAATATGTTCTATTCTAATTGCAACAGATCCCTAACTTCATAGGCAGATACTGTACATTGCCCATCTTCTCTAATCATATCTTTCAAACTGGAAATTTTAGAAATTAAGAGATTCAGCAAAAATGAGCATTCTGCAGCTCAGCCCAATATGGCAGGAATGGGCAATGTAAGGACATGCATGCAGACCTCACCCCATTTTGTAGTCACTAAAGCCTTCTTAAAGCACAGCATGAATTTTGTCAAATTTGCCATTTTTTAACGGCATAATTTTTTTGTGGGTTTCTCAACCCAGCCTAAGTTCTCTAGCAGAACTGAAATATATACCACACTACTCCCCGTGCCCTTTCAGGCCTCTAAAGTTGTCGATATGTCTGTATGTACGTGTGTGTATAACTGTTTACTAACCTTGCTATAGACCAGGCATTTCCAATTGGGGGTGCATTTCCAGAGGGTGCAAAAACTTTAGAAGTTTCAAAATTATAGTATATATGTATAATTCGTTGCTGTTATTTCAAACTTTTGTAAGGGGTGTGAGAATATATCAGAAGCGTTCTAGGGATGCGGGGTATAGAAAAGGTTGGGAACCACTGCTATAGACAATAACCATCCATAACAGGGAACAGAATATAAGAAAGGCCTACAATTCAATGGCTGTAGCAGGTTCTTTTCTAAACTCAAACCAAGACAGAAATCAGAATCCGAACTGCAATATTGTTCTCTGTTCTACAAACCACTATATGGGGGGGAAAAAAATCCAGAATCTTTTTTTTAAAATATAGCACAATGTAAATTTAAATTACATTTATTACCTTCTTTGGTGTGTGTGTGTGTGTGTGTGTGTGTGTGTGTGTGTGTGTGTATGTATTTAAAATGAAATTAGTCACTTCTGAAAATTGTGATACAGGGAAATTCCCAGTATTTTCTCATATTCTGTTAATGTAGGACTTGTTTTTCTATGACAGTGTGTATTTTTAACAAGTAGTGCATAACCATATACACCAACTTTGGAATTTAAATTTAAATTAACAGTGAAATGCCAACACTGGCTTACGATGATTGTACAGTATATTCAGATAGTATAGTATATACACAACTCAGCCCAAAATTTATGTTGCTAAATGAAACATTTGTGAAGTGAGTTTTGCTCCACAGTTGTTAAGTGAATCATCAGAATTATTAAGTTAATAATATGGATGTTAAGTGAATCCTGCTTCCCTAATGACTTTGCTTGTCAGAAGCTCACAAAAGAGGATCACAAGACCCCAGGACACTGCAACCGTCATAACTATGAATCAGTTGCCAAGCATCTGAATTTTGATCACATGACCATGGGGACGCTGTAATGGTCATAAGTAAGAAAAATGGTCATAGGTCACTTTTTTCAGTGCCGTTGTAACTTTGAACAGTCACTAAATGAACTGTTGTAATTCAAGGACTACCTACAGTATATACTAGTGGTAACGCATCATTAGGTAAGCACAGCTACTGAGAAGGAAGTATTTAGGACTCTGATCCTCCATCTAACCGCCTCCCATAAAACACTACCTATATTTTGCCATAGAAATAATATTTGGTACTGCTGTGTAGTATTTTTAATGCATTATGTCTAAAACAAAAGAGAGGGGAACCAGCTCTTTTTGCAGAATAAGGTGATAAAAATTCTAGAGTGATAGACTGTCAGAAGCAGCAAGGGGGAATAGTACAATTCTTGCTCCTGTTTTTCTGAGCAGAAAAAAAAATTGCAAATAGAAACCCAAAATACAAAAACTCAACTCTTTTCCATCTCCAATATGGTAGTTCTTTATCTGCAAAAAGATTTTTTTTCATAAATACACACACACACACACACACACACACACACGATATCATATTCTTAGCCAATTAATAGACTGATCACACACATTAATCCATTTAGTGCTTCCAAAAAGTGCATAGACAACAGAAATGGAATAATATTAAATTGTGATTTATTTCATCAAATATAAAAATAATATAAATAACTTAAATTTCACAAGACAAAATATCAGTACTGCTTTCAGGTTAGCAAATGAATAGCAATGTTTACAAAAAGAAGCCTTTTCTCCTCAATGTGAAGATGAGAAAAATTCCATAGGAATTATATACATAATATATAATTATATAAATACATATCTTCAAACCAGCAAACTTATATATTAGCCACTCATTTATAACAGCTTTATAAAAGCCCAGATATCCCCACAAAAAAACATACTGTTTTTATCTCTTTCACACAGTTTGTGTCATTGCAATCAAATCCCAAACCATAAATATTATAAACATATTTGCATAAATACGTTCAGTGCAAAATTCCTCAGTTTGTTTTTTTCACACCAGAGCTTCCAAATATTGATTCTGGGAAGGATAGGGTAAAAGATAAAAATTAATCTTTGTTGACCTTCACATCGCTTGGCTTCTGAGCATGGCTAAGGGTTCCAAATAGCCAGTCCCAGTGTTTAAAGTAAGGTGCATAGTTGAACTTGAACTTCTGATGATGGAGATCATGGTGTGGAGCTCCTCCATACAGGCCAAAAGGCACCAGTTTATGGGTTGACCATGGCAGGTCATAGCCAGAATGATCTTCTACTGACAACCAGATGTTGGCCGTGAAGAAAGTCATTTCCGTCAGTGGATGACACCCCAACAGCATCGGACCAATTACAGCAAAGAAACCCAGCCAGAGCAGCTCCCAAATGCTGGCAAACTGAGTGGTCAGAGCAAAGGTAGAGACGTGTTTGTGGTGGACCTTGTGGAAATTTTTGTAGAGCCAGGGCACTTTATGGTGGAGCAAATGCCACAAAAAGGACAAGAAATCGAACAACAGCAGGCAAACAGCTACCTGCAGGAGAAGCGCGGGTACCTCGGGAGCGATGCTAGGCAAGTTCACTGGCCTCCAGTACCAATGCGCAACAGTCACTGGAAAGATACACACGATGTGGTGATAGATGCTCTGAGCCAGGCAAAGAACCACCATCTGCGGTGTAGGCGAGCTGTGCGGTTGGATTTTATACTTCCTCAAGACGGAGATCCAAGAGCTTAAAAAATCCAGGGCGATAAAAGGAAAGCAGAAAGCTGTATAGATTGCAAAGTTGAACAGCACCGGGAAGAAGGGAGACTTGAGCAAGCTCTCCTGCCTACGGACAAAGTTCCACAGAGGCTGTAGAGCCGGCGCGTTTGGCAAGTCATATGGCTCGTCACAAAACAGCAGCGTGCTTCCGTTGTGTATGCTGATTTCCATTGCAGCTGCAGCCGTCGCTTGTGCTGTTTGTGTACTGGAGCTGTTCATTCGCCTGAAGTCTTTTTTATGTACTCCCGTGGATGACGTAACGAAAACAAGAAAACTTCCCGCAAGTAATCAGTTCAGTTCCTTTTCCTCTTGAAGAAAAAGTATCGGGAGGGGCGGGGGTGAGGAAATTCCCTTCTCTTCTTCCAAACGTTTATCCTTAGATGAGCTATCCTTTGCCGCGCCTCTTTCTTTTGGTTACAATAGATTGGATTTAGGAGCTGAAAAGCAGGCTGAGAAGGGAGCCTAGGAGAGGGCATAGGAATGGCACTGAAAAGAATTATATTAATGGCATTTAGTCAGAACAGAAATGATGAGGAGTAAAGATCACAATCTTTACTCCACTTCAGTTACTTTACTTTTTCTTCTTTGAAGAATACCATCTGAATATGCGTGCTTTGGTTTCTGAGGATGATTACATGGTGCTAAAGGGCTGAGAAGCCGAGAGGAGACCTTTAAAACAAAAAGTGTGGCATTCTGGAAGCAGAGCCAAAACAAATTTATAGGCACTTTTCAACTGTCAATTCAATGATGGTTGGGGTTTGATGAGTGCTACCAATGGAGATCGTGCTGTAATTCTCATCTTGTAATGTGTCATTTCAGATGTTTCAAATACATGACATGGGGAGAAAAAATTCAGTCAAAATTTCTAACAGATTAGATAGGATGCCACCTTCAAAACTCCAGCCTCTGTTTTTGCTATTTTACTAAAATGAATAAGAATATTACAGGCTAACATCAGTGAGATAGGGTGGGGTTATCATTCTGACCTCAAATCTCAGGTGGCTTTCAAGGTTCATCAATTCATCTTGGTTGCCACAGTATAGTTATGCGTGATTTGGCAATCTATGTGCTCACACTGGAGCCTCTATCTTGTCATCAGATCACTCTGAGGCATGCTGAAGTCAGGCTAAGGCTAATAAACATTTTCCAATCCCTAGCAGAAGAAGACCTCCCAGGTGCACATGTTAGGTCAGTGATGGTGAACCTTTTAGAGACTGAGTGCCCAAAAACTGGCCCCGCCCCTGCTCCATCACCCCTGCCTGCCCCCACTCTGCCCCCATCCCACGCCCCGTCTGCCCACAGGACCACTCACCACCTCCAGGGCCAGCCACAGATCGCCCAGGCAGCCCAGCAGCGCTATGGTGGCCACACCCTCTGCCCGTGCCCTGCAGCATCAAATGCGTGATGGGATGTGAGGGCAGTCTTGTCTACGCTGCCTGGCTGCCATGTCCTTGGCTGCGCTGCTCCATGTGGGCCATACTTGAGGGCGACTCTCCTTCAGGGGGGCTGCTGGAGAGGAGGGGGTCGTGGGGGAAGGCAAGGCTGAGGCAACGGCACATGTGCCCACAGAGAGGGCTCTGAATGCTCCCTCTGACACCCGTGCCATAGGTTCACCACCACTGTGTTAGGTCATATGTAGTGTATATATGCAAGACTGGCCCCTTCCTTGAGAGAGAATGGCCATTTTGGCTAGGGCTGCAGTCAGATTGGACACCTCACTGATACGATTTCATGTGATTTGTTATTGTTTGGGCCTGAGGATATTGATCTCATAGGAGCATAAGTTGGTCACTGTGGGAAGCTGTCCCCATCAATCATTATTTGATTGCAGTACTTCTGTTCTTCCATCTCCACATCTTTTCATTTTTCAGTTTCATACATTCAAACATGGCAAAACTTTTTAAAATCTATGATGCAGTTTCCAACTCTGAAAGTCAAAAGCAAAGCCTGATTTGACGTTGGTTTTCGATGGTGGTGGTGGTACAGACACTCCAAATACACTCATCTGCTTTTTCCTAACCTAAAAGAGCCAAACCAGTTATTATCTTGAAAGTAACCCACATTACTTTCCATGAGGACAGCAGCAGACCTTGTGGCTGAGGCACAGTGAAAAGTAGATTGTAATGAAGTTATTCTCAACTGTTGAGTCCTTGGGACTCAACACAATGAAACATTAGGACAACTTATTCTGGAAAACAGAATAAGAACAGAACAGTGAACACCCTCAACTCACTCTGAACATCAGAACTGAAGCTTTCCTGGTCATATGGAAAGAGAAGGTGCCATTGCTATCACTTCAGGCAGTCTTCATGCCACTGTGCCTTCAGTCTGAGAATGAAGAAATATTTAGGGTTCACCTTGTTCTCTCCCTAAAAGATGTGCTGAGGATCAGCCATGCATAATTTCAGCAAAATGCCATTTTTATTTTCAGGGGGGAAATAATATTCATTTAACATCCCTAATATTGTTTTAATACTGAGCCATGTTAGTATCTGTCTGTCTAAAACAGGGCTCTTCAAACTTGGCCCTTTTATGACTTGTGGACTTCAACTCCCAGAATTCCTCAGCCAGGCATGCTGGCTGAGGAATTCTGGGAGTTGAAGTCCACAAGTCATAAAAGGGCCAAGTTTGAACAGCCCTGGTCTAACACAATAACAAAATTATTATTCTGTCTCTTTATCTATCAATCTCTGAGTGGGTGTTATTAATCTTTCTTGGTTGATTATTATCTATTATCTATTCTGGAACATTAAGCACTTTGCACTTAATATAATCTGTGAACTCATATCCAGTTCATTAAAGATTACATGCAAGCATATATAAAAAACAAACTGTGGGCGAAAGGGTAGGTTTAGAAACTGTAAGATCAGAGGAAAATGATACACAACAGGGACAGACAGTAATAATTTCCCAATTAGCCCTAATATTTAAAGTTGTTCTTAGGTAATGTTAGAAATACTGATTAACATGTCCAACGTGACTTGAGGAGGTACACGATTTTGTTCAAGTCACAGGAAATAATTGAATATCCTGATGAGACACAGTTATATTGGTTTTGCAATCTATCTTTCAAATCCTTCACATTAGGTCTCTTACTAGGTTTGTCACTCAAACTCACAGCATGATGTTGCACCACTACAAGAACATCCATAAGCCCTGCTTCCTTGAGCTGGCCAACAACCCTCTTGTGGGCCACTTGAGGAGGGATGGCCCAACTCTGGAAGCAACCAACTTTTCACCCCATTCCTGATCTTCATGTTACCATGTCAGCTTTATGTGACAGAGGAAGAAGGCAAAATAGTTGCCCTCAAGAAGCAGGAAAGTGCTCTTCTCTTTGGCCTGGAGAAGACAGGATAACAAAGGACAAGAGTAGCGTGACTTACCCTGGGGTAGGAGGAAGAATCTTAGTAGCATATGAATATTAATTGCATGTACTATATTTTATATTTATGGCAGGGTATTTTCCCTCTTCCCTTCATTATATGTTGGAAGGAAGGGAGGAAGGAAAGGGAAAGGGAAAGGAATATAAGAGAGCCAGAATGGTGTGGTGGTTGAGGCACCAGGCTACAGACCAGGTGACAATGAATTCTAGTCCTGCCTGCCTTAAGCATGAAGCCAACTGGGTGACCTTGGACCAGTCACTCTCTCCCAGCCATAAGAAGCAGGCAATGGCAAACACTTCTTGCAATGAAATCTCACCAACAAACTTCAGGGATTTGTCCAGGCAATTGCCAGGAGTCAACACCGACTTGAAGGATCATTATCATCAAGTATATAAAGAACTACCCCAACAAATGCACTTAACATTTTCTCTATCCAGAAATGTTAACATTCTTTGGAAAATGAAAGGTACAATCAATAAACATCATTAGCAATATCAACAAATACCACTTTGCCCACTGATTTTAAAGATGTGACTTCCAGTTTCAACCTCTCCATAATTTTTCCTGCTTATCAATGATTCAAGGACATAAATTATGACAAAATTTGTTGCTGTATGCCACAGCTACAGGTATATGTAAAAAGGTAGGTAAATTATTAGGTGCAGGAAATCACATTGCATCATTCATGTCATGGGAAAAAAAATTAGCTATTTGCTCCATCTACTGGCTACAGTAGAGATGCAAGATTTTAATTCTTGCCACTGGAATTCAACAATTATAGATATGGAAAGGACCATCAAGTCCACACACTTCTGCTTAGTGCAGACATCCCAATTAAAACTGTTCCTTGACTGATGAATTGTCCAGTTTTGTCCAATGACAAACTAAAATTATTTCTTAACAGCTGAATCTGTCCTCCTATAATTTAACTTTATTATTTCATTAACTAACTTTTGGAGTAGCTGGACATGCAATTCTATGTACTTGAAAAGAGTGATCAAGTCTTCTTTCGAATATGCCAAGGCAGTTTCTTCCATTTCTCTTGAAAATATTTCATTTTTAAATTTTTGATCATCCTCATTGTTCTCTGAATTAAGCTAGCAATACTAAGCATATTGTTTTCTGTTGAAGACATTATTATTCAGCATTGAACTGAGTTGTTCTTGGTGCTCTTTAAGTTTGATTGTATGCCTACAGACATTTCATTAGCCAACTAGGTAAGGTTAGCAGTGCAAGAGCTCTGAGGACACCAAAAATTTCACAACACAATGCTTTATAAAAAAGAGCTTCTGGCTTGACTATCCTGAATGCAGATGTCTTGTTAATTTTCTTCATTCTGTGAGAAGGACAATAAAAAGTATTTAACATTCTGTTCTTTTTAACTCCAACCATGCTACAGATTTTGTACTTCTCCCACTTAATAATGATAACAAGGCTGCCACTAGTTTTCAGTAGTTGTGGTTAGAAAGAACTCTAGGTTGTGCAATAACGAATTTAGAGGTCACATGTTTCCAAGGTCCTTAGGTTGATCACTTTATCCAAAATATTCCAAAAGTGTGAGTAGTTTATCTCTTTTCTGTCCCACTTATAAATGTTCCAGAAGTATCTGGTTTATCAATTGTGCAAGCAGAAATCTGGAGAAGATGACCCATTCAAGCCATTAGAACGGTTTATCAGAACTAATATATAGCAATAGAATAGCAATAGCACTTAGAATTATATACTGCTTTACAGTGCTTTAACAGCCCTCTCTAAGTGGTTTACAGAGTCAGTATATTGCTCCCAACAATCTGGGTCCTCATTTTACCGACCTCAGAAGAATGGAAGGCTGAGTCAATTTTGAGCTGGTGAGGTTCACACCCCTGGCAGTCAGCAGAATTATACTGCATTCTAACCACTGTGCCACCACGGCTCTTATCAACATGTCTTGTCAGTTGCTCATCTTCCTGCCGTGTTTTTCTATAAATTTACATTCAAACTTAGATTTTCATGTTTTCTACACCATGGTAATAGTTATAGTAATAGTGTTTCCAAATTTCAATTTAAAAAAGAGTCATATCTTAGAAATAACCTTTGGATAGTCTGGTCTGAAGGTTAAGAATGCATCAAGATCATCTGGAAGACCGCACAGTTCTGCAATAGAAAGAAAACTTGCAAGAAATATTAATATAAATAAAAAACTGTAGATTACATTTCTACATATGGTTAAAGAACTTAGAGACTCTATGACTCCTCAACTGAAGAGATGTGTAAAGAAAACATCAGTTTGAAAAAGTTCAAGCATCAGCATGGAAATGAACCATCATGTAATTTCATAGCCAGAACATCCATATTGGCTCAAATCTGTGACTTCTGAAAGGATTCAGTTTATACATTAAGTCACTTACGTAGTTAGATTAGATCAGAGGTCTTCAAACTTGGCCTTTTTATGACTTGTGGACTTCAAC